CTCTCTCTCTCCCCCGCCCCCCCGCCTTGGGATCCAGAACCTCCACCCTCCTTCTAGGCTCGCTGGCTCGTGGCCAAGGAGCTCGCGCGCGCCTCCGCCCCGAACGCAAACAGCTGTTCCCAGAGACGTCGCCGCTCTCAACTTTGCCAACGAGTCCGCTCGCACTTTGACCAGCGCGGCAGCTCGGACCTGTGTGTTGGGGGCCGTTGGCGGAGTTAGAAGAGAAAGGTGAAACTGCGGGGCTCCGGGGCCGCAAGTCGCCGGTTGGCCTCAAACTTTCCCGTGGCGGGACTGCGGCCCCGCCCCTCCGGCTCCCTCCCCCGCGAGGCCCGAGCGCTCGGACCGGCTGGGGCTCGTTCTCACTCGGAGCGCGTGGGCAGCGGCGGCGGAGGCTCGAGTGACGCAGAGGCGGCGGCGGGAGCTGCGGTGTCCGGGCACTCACGAAAGCAGCGGCGGCGCTCACGCTTGTCAGGTGGGTTGCGTGGCGCGTTCACCAGCTCTTCCCATATAGTCTAGCGGTTAGGATTCCTGGTTTTCACCCAGGCGGCCCGGGTTCGACTCCCGGTATGGGAAGGTTAGCCTTTCTTATTGATTTGGAGGACTGCTGTATTTTAACTTCCATGTCTGGCTCCTTTCTTATTGCCCTGTCGGGGAGAGTTTGTGATAAAACGAGCCTAAGTAGCAGCGGTGTGAGCTCCGCGTGCGTGGGAGCGAGCACGCTCCAGGTCCAGCTCCTCTCGCTGGGACTCCCCGGGCTGCAGGCCCGGGAAGGAGTTTCACTTTCCCGGTGGCTGCTCCCCGCCCCCCGGCCCCGTAGTTTTCCAGACGCTGGGAGGTGATGATTAACCCTGGCCTCGCGTTATCTCCTCCCAGCGCCCCTCTCGCGCCCACACCCTCCTCGGCCGGCCCCTTCCGACTCGTCCCTAGACGCGGGACGTGTTTTGCCCCCGCCCTGGGCGAGCTCGGGCGGCAGCCCTTGTGAGTGTCTGTCCGCCGGGTGTTTACGAGACCGCCCCCCGGCGCTGGAACACCACGTGCCTTCCGTGGCCTCCCGGGGGGCGCGCTTCCCGGCAGCGCGGCCGCCCGGCACCCCCTTTCCGCCGCGAGTGCGCGTCGTGTCCTCCCGCGGCGCCCCAGGACGGCCTGCGAGGTCATCGCCGCTGGCCATTCGGCGCTGGTCGCGGTCACCAAGTGCCCCAGACTCAAGAAGAGGCCTTTGGGAAAGACTCTTCTCTCTCTCTCTCTCTCTCTCTCTGTCTCTCTCTCTCTCTCTCTCTCTCTGTCTCTCTGTCTCTCTCTCTCTCTCTCTCTCTCTCTCAACCTCAACACAACAACGAACGAGCTGCGGAGAAGAAAAATACCACTCTGATGAGATGTCTTTAAAGAAAGCAAATTGACTTTACAAAGGGTCTAACGTTTTGAGCGCCGCTGATTAAAAAAAAAAAAAAAAAAAAATCCTAGGGAGGAGGTGGAGCTGGGGAGAGAGAAAACTGTCCGGAGACTGGGGAGGAGACGTTATAACAAAGTTTCACTGTATTTTTAAATATAGAAGCCCTGTGTTTATTACAAAGAAGGGGGCAGCTGTGTCAGCAGCATGTGAGCTGTAAATGAAACAAAAGCGTTATCTTAAATGCAAGCTGAAATTAGAAAATAGGATCATCTATAATGTTTCGTCTATTGGGCCTCTGGGAACAAATGAACAAGGAAAAAGTGACTTGTGGATGGGTTTGTGGTCATTGCCATTGTTAAAAGCAAATGTTTTGGTTGTTAGTATGCCTGCTCTCCCAACTCGTTAATGTGATCTGCATGATTAAGGATGAATCAGCCTTACCTCGCAAAATGCCTAAAAGTACTTTAATTCATATTCATTAGTTCAAATATTTGTGTGTTTACTACACGCCAGATACCACAAGATACTTTTGAAGTTGTCGATGTTCGGGTTCTTTATGTTAGAAGTAGAGGGTACAGTACTGAATGGAATAATATTTTGGCCTCTGTGATTAGCTGTGTGACTATGTGGGTTTCTTTCACTTTCTCTGTGCTCTGACTTTAGAGCCATATATTTTTGGTAATACATATCACTCATAAACTTTAAATACAGTTATAAGAATTGTTCAGTAATTCTTGAATAGGTAATAAAAGTGAAAATTTTTCACTTAAATAAGGAGTATTGGTCCGGTATGGTGGCTCATACCAGTAGTCCCAGCATTTTGAGATGCCAAAGCAGGAGGGTCATTGGAGGCCTCGAGTTTTCATACCAGCCTGGGCAACACAGCAACACCTCCATTTCTACAAAGAATTTAAAAAATTAGCCTGGTGTCATGGCTCAGGATTGTAGTCCTAGCTCCTCAGGAGGCTAAGGCCAAAGAATCGCTTGAGCCTTTGTTGGTTACAGAGAGCCATGAACATGCCACTGTCCTGGGTGGACAGAGGAGAACCTGTTTCAAAAAAATATAGTATTGGGTCATTATTAAGAATCAGTTACTTAAGAGTTACAGTAGTTCAAATCTGGAAGGAAGGAAAGACAACTTTGCCTTAATTGTCCCCAGAGAGGGCTTAACTTTTGACCTTGCGTTTTGTAATGAGTTGGTATCATGTGGTACCAAGTAGTTATACTACATTCATGGGAGTGAACTCTAGAGAAGTAGTTGGGTCATCTCTGTATAAGACACAGACTCATCTTGTGTGTAGTTGTATATCAGATGGAATATGGTAAGGCAGTATCTGAATTGCCGCAGTGCTGCTAGAACAGCAGAGGTGGGGAAATCAGTTCTACTCAGGGAAGAGACTGGAGGAGAGAGGGAAGGGAGAGCATTTGCCTAGGACCTTGAAGAACTGGTTGGATTTCTCTTGGTGGGGAATGTGAATCATAAAGCCAGACTATGGTTTGGCAAGAGCACAAAGTGCCTGCAGGGAGAGCCATGGGAGATCAAGCTGTGAACTGAGAAAGGAATTTTAGCTTGATAAGTTTTGACTAGGTAACAGGTTCTTTTATCAAGGAGTTACATTTTATGTCACTAGAGTCTTAAGAATATTTTTGTCTCTTGGAAAACCCAAATATAGCAGTAATATGTTAAAAATTGTTTTTAAAGTTTCAAGTAATATAGAAACATGTAGAATATTCTGTGCCCATTGGTTTCATGTTTAGGAGTTGAATATTCATTTTTAATAGAATGGAGAAAAGTAATTATAATTCAATTTATAAGAATGAAATCTAGGCCTAAATTATGAGAAAGGTGTGCAGCTATATTATTATTGTTTTGGAATCAAGGTCTCACTCTGTTGCTCAGGCTGGAGTACAGTGACACAATCAAGGCTTACCTCTGTCTCTACCTCCTGGGTTCAGGTGAGCCTTCTGCCTCAGCAACCCTCGTAGCTGGGAGTACACACGACCATACCCAGCTAATATTTTGATTTTTTTATAGAGGTTGGGTCTCATTATATTGCCTAGGCTGGTCTGGAATTCCTGGGCTCAAACAGTCCTCCTGCGTTGACTTCCCAAAGTGCTGGGATTACAGGCATGAGCCGCCTTGCTTGGCCAGTTTCAGCTATATTCTTGTTGACTTGCTTTATTGAAAATCACCTTGATATTCTAAGACAGAGCTGCTAGTTACTGTCAGTAAGTCATATACCTTAAATCGGTCAAGGTTAGGTGATCAGTTTGTGAGGATTCATTCTTACGCTTTTGCCATAGGCAGTCATATTTTAGGTGTTCTCTTTTGGGCCACAGAATACCAACACTAATTGAGTGCTGTGTATTTTTCCAATTATTACAGTAGTTCCACTAGTCTCTTTAGTGTTAGGTGTTATCAAAAGATGTGTTCAAGTTCAGTAAATGTTTGCAGAGCTGAACACCTGTATGTAAAGAAGTAGAAGAGGTTAAAAAAACAATTACAATGTTTTAGGTAAAATCCAAAGACCTTACTGTGGTCTTTGAGAACCAGCATCATCTGGCCTCCACATACCTCCCAGGTTCATCTGCTGCCTTCTTTACCTCTTTGTTGTACTTCGGCCACCCCTGCTTCCATTTTGGTCCTTGAGCATGCCAAACTTACACTTGTCTCAGAGTTGCACATTACTTGCTCTTTCCTTTGCCTGGGATATTCCCCCTCTTAACTGCACATGTCAGGTCAGCGATACCTTCTCAGACACATCTTTTCTGGCCACCTTTGCTGGAGACTCCCTCTTCCTTGGTTACTTTACACCTTTTTTCTTCATTTTCTTACAATCTAAAATGAACGTGTTTGTTTCTGTTTCTCTTGCCTTATTTCATAGAATATAAGTTCCATGAGGGTAAGGATATTGTATAGTGAGATCGTCCTTATACTATAGTGAAGATAGAGTAGTGGTTGCTTTGGATTAGAGGGGATAAGGATGTTTTGGGGGGAATGACTGCTGATATGAGTACATTTGGGGGTGATTAAAATGATCTAAAGTTAAATTGTAGTGATGGCTGCACAACTCTGTGAATATACTGAAAAGCATGGAATTGTACACTTTGGGTAAACTTTGTTGTATGTCTCTCAATGACACTCTTAAAAGTATATAGAATATTTTATCTCTAGATTTTACATTAACATTTGGATATTACATATTTAAAATAATAGTGAATAATCTAACAGTGAAATCTAGCTCCTAGACAGTTCCAGGAATGTAGCAAATACTCAGTAAGTAACTGATGAAGGAGTTTAGATAAGTATACAGAAAATTATGATACAGTGCATAGTGTGATAGACTCCAGGGGGACTATGACATATTTGAAGTTCTCCAAAATCCACATCTAGGCAGGGCAGGATGGGTTTATGCCTGTTATTCCAGCACTTTGGGAGGTCAAGTCAGGGGGATTGCTTAAGCCCAGGGGTTTGTGACCAGCCTAGGCAACATAGTGAGACTTAGCTGACAGTGAGAACCTGACTCAAAAATAATAATAATAATAAGCATTTGGGTTTGTGTGTGGGGAATGGAGAAAGGCCTCT